GTGGTGTTGGAGAAAAGCACTGAAACGCGAAACCTATACTTGGACCAAGAGGCAATCCTCAGAACAGAGCAAGAAGACACTACATGGTTCAAAATCAAGAATGGGGTCCGCTAGGGATGTATTCTGTCTCCATACCTTTTCAATCTGTATGCAGAACAGATCATCCGAGATGCTGGGCTGTACGAGGAGGAATGTGACATCAGGATTGGTGGAAGAATCATCAACAACCTGCATTATTCAGATGACACAATCCTGCTTGCTGAAACTGAGGAGGACTTGAAGCGCTTGCTGCAGAAGGTCAAGGACTGCAGTCTTGAATATGGATTGAAACTCAACATAAAAAAAAACAGCGATTCTCACCACTGGGCCAATTGGCAGCATCAGTATGGATGGTGAAGAGACTGAGATAGTTTAGAGTTTAGTTTATTTGGTTCCACAGTCAACACTCTTGATAACACCCAGGAAATCAGGAGACGAATCGCATTGTGATAATCAGCTGTGAGGGACCTCTCGAGTACTGAAGAGCAATGAGGTCAGACTGGCGACTAAGGTGTGCCTGATCCAGGCTATATTATTCCCAATTACATGCTATGCATCAGAGAATTGGACAGTGAATAGGGATGATAGAAAGAGAATTGATGCCTTTGAGCTGTGGTGCTGGAGAAGAGTATTGAATATACCATGGACTGCAAGGAAAACAAACAGGTTTGTCCTGGAGAAGGTGAAGCCAGAATGCTCCTTGGAGTCAAGGATTCTGAAGTTTCATCTGACATACTTTGAGCATGTTGCAAGGAAGGACTGGTCTTTGGAGAGGGACATCATGTTTGGGAAAGTGGATGGACGGTGCAGGAGAGGAAGACCCTCGATGAGATGGATCAATTTTGTGAGTGGAGTGGTGGGAAAGAGTGTGTCTGAGACGGCGAGGTTGGCACAGGGTAGAACGGCGTTTAGGGCTCTTGTACACAGGGTCGCTATGAGTCGCAAGCGACTCAATGGCACATAACAACAACAACAACAATCTCATGGACTGCCAGAAGAACAAATGGATATGCTTTGGAGAAAGTGCAACCAGAGTATTCCTTCGAGGCAAGGATAGTGAAGCTTCATCTCACATACTTTGGATGTGCTGTTAGGAAATGCTATTTCGTGGAGAGTGACTTTGTGCTTGGAAAGGTGTAAGGTCAGAAAAAGAAAGGAAGACCTTCAACAAGATGTATTGATGCAGTGACTGCAGCATTGGGCTCAAGTATCTCAGAGATCATGAGGATGGCACAGGTAGGGCAGGGTTCAGTGATGTTATTCATGGGGTTGGTATGAGTTGTACTTACCTTGATGGCACATAACAACATAACAGTCTATCTAAGAAGAGGGAGAATGAAGTTTCAGAACGCTAACTCATTTCCTCCCAGGGGCTCAGGTGACATAGGATCTGGGGTCGGAACTTAGCCCTCTGCGCCTCTGAGGTAGCTGTTCTGTAAAAGCCACAGACCTCCAGAGAGGAGAGGCTGCCCACTGCTGAACTTTACCTGAGCCTGAGTAGGAGGCCACCTCCAAGAGGATGAGCCAGAGGGTGGCTTATCTCACTCCTGTCCCTTCTCTGGAGACTTTCCCTCAACGCCTGGTCCTCTCATCACCAAGTACACAATTGTATGGTAATGTGAGTATTGGATAATCGCTATCAATATTTCATGTCTCAACCAACACTGTCCAAACACCACTTATAAAATATGAATGAATTGAGGTTTTGACAAGCAAATAGGCCAAGCGTGATACCAAGGGAATGAGGAAGGGACAGGGACAATAAGAGACACCCCCCCCCCCAAGTCCCTGGAGTTAGGCCCAGAGTTTGTGGGCTGGCTAACTCTTCTGGAAAGCCACCAGGGCCAGTGTGCTTGGTACAGGGCTGAAGCATGGCTTCTGCCTGTAGCCTCGGGATTTATCCCTGAAGCCTGTAGTTGACAGGTTTATGTTTATAGTCTGGGGGGCTATGTCTGCAGTCTAGGGACCTGCATCTATAGTCTAGGGGTCTGTCTGTAGTCTGGGCCCCCTGTCTGTAGACTCAGGTTCTGGATCTGCAGACTGGGGGTCTTTGTCGATAGTCTGAGATCTGTCTCTGAAGTTTGTGGGGAGGTGCCTGACAACTTGTCCTCCAGCTGCCTAAGATGTTAAGGAGACACCAAATGAAGTTATTGTAGCATTTGCTTAGAGCACCTGAAGACACCCCACCATCACCACCAGGGGGGAGCTCACTGGTTCTAGTCTCTGGTCAGAGAGTCAGGAGGAGGTCATCCTTCTCAGACTCCCCTCCTTCCCCCTGCAGCTTCTTCGGACCCTTTCTCATCCCTGCTGAGCTGAGCCTCAGTTGAAGCCACTTCTCTAGCCTAGCTTCAGTCTTCACCAGCCCTCCTGGAGGCTGGCAATAGCAGTCCTTCACTGGACACTCTGGACTGGGCGGAGAAGGAAACCTCACTTGGGGTGATTTGAGAAGACCCCATAGTTATAGGCACCTCTCACCTCCTTGCACCTTCACAGCTCTATCTCCAAAAGACTCAACCCCAAATTGTTTCCTCACTGTCCAAGGGCTCACACTCTCCAACAGGTCATGGCTTTTATTCCTCTGTATGTAAGATAAGCAAGTATATTAAATGGTCCCCTCATTTTCATTGTGTTCTTTTCTAACCCCAACATCTGGCAGGTTCATGACTCACTGCTTTTGGCAGAAACTCCAGGGACCAGGATCTTGCTCTGTGTAGTCAGACAGCATCCAGGGAAGTCGGTGAGCTAATCTGACAGGGTGATGCTCAGGGTCCCCTGTAACCGACAGCTCAGCTGGGCTCCCAGCCTCTAGGGACTGCACCTGGAAGTCTGGCAATCAGGGATGGGCTGAGGGACTGGCCTCTGATACGGGGCATTGGTAATGGATACTCAGTGTCCAGTGTGTACTGGAGGACAGTGATCTATTTATTTGGAAAGTCCATTGGAAGGAAAGGGAATGGGAGGCGTGTGCTGGAACCCTGCCAGGAACCAGAAGCGACTTCCTGTGACTCTAAGTAAAACTAGGCCTTGATTCAGGTTCTTTTGCAGTTGCCCAGTGAAAGCCATGTTATCATCTGCTCTCAGGATTCCGAGCTGGGTGCTGCCAAAACCTTTAGCATAAACCACAACCCCTGTCCTAAAAGTTACTGAGAACCACTCAGGCACCAGGGTTGCCCACATACCAATGTCAAGCTTGCAAAGGGCAGATTGGCTCCAGACCTTGGTTGGCATGGCTACCTACAGTGCCTCTTCTGAGCTCTGCCTTACATCGGACTGGCTCTTGGCTTGAACAAAGTTGAGTCTGCATTTGCATTTGGGAGGATCCCACCAAACAAATGAAGAGAGCCTTGCTCTTAGCTACCAGACTATAGATAGGTTGGTGGTTTGAACTGTCCCAGCAGTACCACGGAAGAAGGGCCTGGCAATCTGCGTCTGTTAAGATTACAGCCAAGGGAGCTCTAGGGAGCAGTTCAACACTGTAACACACGGAGATTACCCTGGTTTGGAATCAACTTGATGGCAGTGGGTTTTCGTTATCAACCTGATAGTGCCTCCTGTGGGCATCCAAGAGGTGCCTGCACAGTTGGCATGAGGGTGAGGGAAGTTTCTGGAAGCCAGTGGCATCCCTTGAGATTTACCACAGGGTCCTACTTCCTCACCAGTCAAGACCAGCTGTGAGGAGAGAGGTCTATAACTGTTTTCAGTGGAAAATAAAGTGCTTCATCTAGATCCCTTCTAAGAAATTGACAGGGCTGATGGTAGCTGCTGATTTCCCGAGGTTTCAAAATTGGTGGAGGGTGGCAAAGGGGGTTTTCTGTAATCTTTTCACTGATAGATTAGATGGAAGGGCAGATCTCGCAGGAGCAAAGGACGACCTTGAGAAAATGTGGCTTCTGTCAAAGGGAAGAGAGAAATAATCTCCCTTCCTCAAACGGCTGCCAATAAGCCTTCCCAGCGCTGAAGCGGTTGACAGAAACTTCGCTGCTGTTGCCTCCCGACCTGGGAGGCTGTAACATTTGACTGTGTGATAAGAAATTGCCAGGCATTTTCTAATTACAATTATCATCATCGTGGATGTCTCTCTTAATTACTTTCTTATAATTAGCTGTTGCCTTTCCCCTCCCCCCTAGCATTTGTGTACTTTGCAGGTTTGCTGACATTTGAAAGCCCCAAAATAGAGACATTTGGGAAGGAGAGGAGGTTGGTGGTGGAAAGTCAGAAACTTAGTCCTTCCAGGCAGCCCTGTCTATTTCAGAACCTTCACAGAAAGAAACTTCAGAGCTGGTCCAAGAGGGAAGTGACAGATCCTTTTCTGAGCTGATGGGAATGAGATCAGGAGTATGGGTTGAAGGGTTGTGGTCTATGAGGCTGACCAAGTGTTATATAGTCTTGAAAAGCAAATATTCTTAGCCCCCTTCATTTTTTCCCCAATGTTCATTTTTTCCTTTTCCAGTGTATTTTATAAAATTATTCACCTACATTGTAGTTTATAGAACTGTTTGCTACTGATCAATAAGTTTCATTACCCCACCTCATCGAGTCCCTCTTGCATCTTGCCTATTCCTTTACCTGCCCATTTCATCCACTAAATTCTGCTCCCCTAAGTGTGTGTTTATGGTGGTTTTTTTTTAAAAAATAAATTTTTATTTTATACTGGTTTGCTTACAAAGTTCATATACATTGTTTTTCACAGCAAATCTTTCCCGTTTTGGAAAGGAAATATTCTTGAAAAGCCATCTGGGCTACTATTCCTTGGGTTTGGGTGTCCTTTTAGGAAATGAGGCTGTGAGGAAGCACATACCACTCAGATCCATTTCGGAGTTAATTAACTAACTATGCTCAGGAGTTGTAGCCTGATTTCCCCCAAAGCCACTCATGCATTCAGAGCATCCCAGGGAGTTGTTACAAAGTGCTTTATGCCCCTTGACCTGATGGTTGGTTCTCTTCTCTCCTGTCCCCTGCAGCCCTGTGTACAGAAGAGTGTGTGCATGGCCGCTGCGTTTCCCCGGACACCTGCCACTGCGAGCCTGGCTGGGGAGGGCCCGACTGCTCCAGCGGTGAGTCTGGGGGCTGCAGGGGGTCCTGCAGCCCCAGGTTCTGTTGTGAGTGGGACCTGTGGCCTTATAGGCCAAGTTTTTATGTGTCCCATTGTGATAATCCAGGATTACAGTTCAGACAGTGTGGGTGTCACAGAGGAGGCTTGCCTGCCTTATAGCACCTGATGGTATGTCTGAAGGTGGTGGGATTTGCAGGGATGTGGGGATGATGGTTTCTGGGGATCAAAGAGTGTCATCATAGGTTGGGTGTGCCGGGGATTGTGGGGTCATATGTACTGCTCTGACTGGATGAAGCATCTTTAGATGTGATGTCCAAAGGATGAAATCAAATGGAGATGCTGCCAGAAAGTGCAGACCTAAGATAATCCAGGCCTGGTTCTTGGGCTTTTCTGGTCCAAAGGCTGGCTCAGTTTTGAGGCTCAGCAATAACTGATTTTAAAGATTAGTGGACACTGCGATGCCTTTGTGTCACTGCTGGTAGGAGATTGAGACAGGTCACTGTATTCCTGCATCTCTGTGGATGAACACCTGATGATCTACAGGAAAGGCCTCATTTTGTATAATATTTCATGAGTTCGTTGTTTTTCAGTGCTGCATAGTATTCCATTGTGTGAGTATACCACAGTTTCTTCTATCCATTAGTTTGTTAATGGGCACTTGGATTGTTTCCAGCTCTTTGCTATTGTGAACAAAACAGCAGTAAACATAGGTGTGCAGGAGCTGCTTTGCCAAGAGCCCAGCTGAAGGCGCAGCTCTCCTCTCTAGCTCCCTTTCCCCAAGTACTCACAAATCACTCCCTTTCCCTTTGGTATGTTTTAAACCCATAGTTGGACAGCCGTGCTTGGAAAACTAGATCATTGAAAAAGAGGAAGACCTTCAACAAGATGGATTGACACAATGACTTTGATAATGGGCTTGACCATGGTGGAGATTGTGAGGATGATGCAGGTAGTAACACATTTTCAATCAGAAGGTCAGCAGAAGTCCCTGGAGTCCCTGGTACCTGTGAGCAACAGCTGCTGGGTAGCATCATGGTGTTAGATATTTACAAAAACTTTAATTAGTGTTGATACCCAAATTTCTTCTTGCCTCGGGCTGGCACGTACTCTGTCTTCCTCTTGAGACTTGAGCAGATAACTAATCCATTTGTTCACACATCTTTGGGAGCCACCTCCCTGTTCCCTATCCCATCCTGACTACAATGGTCATGAAAAATTGAAGAGCTGAATGTTGAGTTCATATGTGCCAGTATAGCATTCTTGGCTCTTCCCATTCTCGCTGATGGGATGGAAACATGCAGTTACATCCTGTGTCCAAGTGCCTTGATTGATCCTCTTTGCCTGCACAGAGCATGGGAAGGTACTGACCAAGCCAAGTCATTTTGTATGTGGTTTTGTTTTTATGCTGTGAATTATTTGAGTATACGCAGCCCAGGATCTGTATCCCAGAGACTCTCTCCAATGCATTGAGACCATCAGTAGCCTCAAAGGTCTTCCACTTCCACCTGCCAGGTAGTCTTTGGATGAGAAAAAAGGGCAGAAACACATCCAGATCACAGGTACACTTGAGGGACACACAGTGAGTTAAAGGAATGTGTCTGACCTATCTTCTTGTGCATGTAAACAACAGGAAATACATTGGGTGAATTGTTTGTGTAACTTTATTTATAAGAAATCTTTTCTTTTTTGGCCAAGGGGAATTTACACAGCAAATTAGTTTCCACTCACTGATTTGTACTTAAACTGGCCTGTGCAATTGATTGTCATTCCTACAGTGTGTCAGCACTCTATTTCCACCCTGTCTTCATCCTTCTATTTTTCCCTGCCCTAACTCCCCTTCTCATCTCTGCTTTTGGGAAAATGTTACCTGTTCTGTCTCTTATCGTTCATATTCTATGAAGTATATATTCCTCCTGGGTATTATGGTTTATTTTATTGGTCAATCTTTTGATTGACTGAAATGTGATCTCAAGGAGTGACTTCAGTTCCAGGTTATAAGAGAGTTTTAGGATGGTGTACTCAGTGGTTCCTCTTCTGTCATGTCCCTGGTTGAAGTGATCCGTAGGGGTAACCAGATATTATCTACTTCTCAGACTAGAGGAGGCTGTAGATGAACTACTTCCTTCAGTCTTTTATTTCCTTCACTATCTTTTATTCTAGCTGAGAAGAGATCTTAACTGGCCACTCATAAGGTTTTTAGATCCAATGCACTACCTACTAAACTAAAATGTAGAACATTATCCTTCTAAGCTTTAGCTGGCCAGTTGACCTAGATATTTTGTGAGGATATGGTCCTTAACCTCAAGACTAGTAACTTGATTCCTTGAGGCATTCGGACATGTCTGAGACTTTTTCGTAACTGAGCCACTTATGTATTTTATTGCATACATGATTGTTTATAGACATACAAATATGTCTATACCAATGCCCACAGCTATGCATATGTAGCAATGATGTCACTCTAGAGACTAAGATGCACCTGGTCCAAGCCACAATTACTTACTGTGCATCAGAGAGCTAGACAGTGACTCAAGATGATAGAAGAAGAATCAATGCCTTTGGGTTGTGGTTCAGGAGAAGAATTCTGAATATACTGTGAACTGCTAAAAGAATAAATAGGTCTGTCCTGGAGAGGGTGAAATCAAGCTGGTCCTTGGAGGCTAGGATTTTTACATTCTTTCTCACATACTTTGGGCATAATGCCAAGAGGGACCAATCCTTCGAGAAGGACATCATTCTTGGAAGGGCAGAGGGTCAGCTCAGAAGAGGATGGATTGGATGAGATGGATTGACTCTGTGACTGGGGTAATGAGGGCAGGTAGAGGGTAGGCTCAGGAGAGGGCAGAGTTCAGAGCTATTGTGCATAGGGTCACTGTGATTCTTAGGAGACTCAACAGCACATAATAACAGCAACACCTGTATATACACATAAGCACGTTCTACTGTATGTCTTCCCACACCTATATTGCATGCATGTGTTTCCACACACTCCTGGTTGTTATTCCTGTTGTTGCAGAGTTGTGTCTGTTGTAATGGTTGCCACAGTTGTCCTTGGTCACCTTGTGCTGACTTTCCCGTGCTGTACATGACTTTCCTTTCACCTGAACATCCTGTGTCTGCTGTCTTGTAAGTGTTCTTCCTCCTGCCTCCCATCCTGAGTCACCCCCAAAGAATGAGGCTTTCTGTGTGGAAACCTGCTTTTTTCTAAAAAGTGGTAACATAGAATAGATGTCTTTTTGTGATTAATTTACTTTACACAGCAAGAAAACCTTCAACAAACTAGATTGACACAGTGACTGTCCCAGTGGGCTCAAGCATGTCAGAGATCGTGAAAATGGAGTGGGATATGGGAAGGTTCTGATCTGTGCATAGGTTTGCTCTGAGCCAAACTCGACTCAGTGGCACATAACCACCACCACCACAACAAAAACAACACGATCCCCTCCAGATTCATCCATTTATATTTCAGAGATTCATCATTGTTCTTAACAGTTGACTATAATTCCATTGTATGTGGGTACCACATTTTGCTTATCCATTTGTCCATTGAAGGGCATTCAATAAATGTTTCCATCTATTTGCTATTGTGAATAACACAGCCGTGAACGTGGGTATGAATATGCCTATTTGTGTCACTGCTTTTATTTCTTTAGGATATACTCCTGGGACTGGGATTGTTGGATCATTTGCTATTTCTATTTCTATGGCTTTTTTGAGGAAGCACTGTATAATTTTCGGCAGTAGTTGTTCCAATTTACAATCTCACTAGCAGCGTATAAAAGTTCCTGACTTCCCCACAACTCTTAGCAAGCCAGCATTTGCTGTTTTCTATTACAGTGAATCGGCAGTGCTGAAATCTCTAACCAGGGGTAGGTGAATCCTACTGGGAGTGGTTTGCTTGCTGTTCCCTAATTGGATGCAAAGGGAAGCCTGTGTGAGTTTGAACTGTAGTTTGAGTGAATATTAGTCACCAGTCAGAGCAAGTTAACTTAGTACTTTGTGTTTGATTAAGATTATACTACACAACAAAGTAGGCAGTCAAAGACAGTACTTTGTGGAGTTTGTAGTGTAGGGGAAGAGAGGTGGAATAAAGATGGCATTGGATGAGCGAGACTAGACAGCTTGCCTAGATCTTGCTCCCAGAGTTACCAAGCTTGCAGAGCAATAGCCTTGTTCTTTTACAGCCTGGACCATTGAAGTCACCGAGGTGGAACCGACTCACAGCAGACACTCCCGCGGGTTTCCTAGATTGTAAATTCCACAGGAACTCGTGCGTCTTTCTCCAGGCGAGCCAGTGGTGGAATCAACCGCCAGAGGCGCGACCTTTGGGTTAGCAATGCAGTTGCCCGAGCACGGCACTTTAGAGTTCATTAACTCTCCAAATCAAACTCATCGCCGTGCAGTCAAAACTGATTGATAGTGGACTCTCCAGAGGGTCTTCAGGAGGCTATCATTTGCACTGGAGGAAATTGCCCAATCTTTGTCTTGCTGAATCACTAGTGGATTTGAAACACCAAAGAGGTGTCGCTTTTGAATTAGCAGCACAACTCCCTACGGTGTCATCAGAGCTCAGTACAAAACCAGGTTGTCTAATTTCACTACCCAGTTTGGTTACTAAATGTGTTGAGCAACCAAACTATTTCTTCAAATGAAGGTCATTCTCATGGGGGGAGGAGCCGCCATCTTTGGGTCTACCAAGACACCACTAAACCCAAGGGAAGCCCTTCAAGGGGGGCTCATTGGAGGGACAGCAGCAGTGCATTTACAGAGATTTCATAGACTCTTAATTTCAGCATCACTCAGCATGTTGAATATTTGGTGCTTTGCCAAGAACTTTCCAGCCTCTGCTTCAATTCCTCCAGTGACAAGGAGTTCCCTGTCCTGTGGATGCCTATTCACTGGTTTTCAATGACCATCTCCAGTGGCGGAGTGATGAGTAATCTGTTACGGCCTCTGAACACCTGCTGGAGGGTCAACTCTTAAGTCTGCTCCCTCCCAGTG